CTTTCTTTCTTCCTTCCTTCCTTCCTTCCTTCTTCCTTCCTTCCTTCCTCCTTCTCCTTCCTTCCTTCCTTTCTTCCTTCCTTCCTTCCTTCCTTCCTTCCTTCTTCCTTCCTTCCTTCCTTCTTCCTTCCTTCCTTCCTTCCTCCTTCTCCTTCCTTCCTTCCTTCCTTCCTTCCTTCCTTCCTGGGGAAGCGGACCCCCCCACATCTCCTGGCCCCCTTCCCCAGTCCTTGCTGCCAGGCCCCTCCCAACCTTGTGGTTTTTATGCTTCCAGTGGACGATGCCGTGATGGACAGCGTCAAGCAGATCTTCGGCTTTGACAGCAACAAGAAGAACCTGGTGGATCCCTTTGTGGAGGTGACCTTTGCAGGGAAAACGGTACGTGTCGGCTGCCCTCCGAGGGTGTTGTGATTGAACAGCCTCCCCCTCCCCCCCCCAGTCTCACCAATGGCAGCAGCCAAACAAGCTAACACAATCCCTGCTGGTAGAAACAGAGGCACAGAATCAAAATCACGTAAGGTATTACTACCCTTTGTAAAGCCTTAGTAAGGCCACACCTGGGATACGGCATCCCGTTTTGGTCACCGTGTTACAAAAAAGAGGTTGAGACTTTGGGAAAAGTGCAGAGAAGAGCGAGTAAGACGATTAAGGTCCTGGATCCCCTTTTGTGACCGTCTGACCAGCAAAGTCAATGGGGAAGCCAGAATCACTTAACAACCATGTTACTAAGTGAACAACTGCAGCGATTCGCTTAAGGACCGTGGTCATAAAATGGAGCAAAGCTCACTTAACCGCTGTCTCGGTTAGCTACAGAAATGTCGTACATCGAGGACTCCCCGCGGTGTTTTTCCCCTGTGGACCCCCCTGCCTGAGGTGGGGGGTGGGAGGTGGGGTGGGGAGGGGAGGGCCCCCCCAAGGAGAGGGGGCTCTACTCAGGGCCTCTTTCCTTCCTCCGAGCAGCTCTGCAGCAAGATTGTGGAGAAGAACGCCAATCCGCAGTGGAACCAGACCGTCACGCTGCCCGCCATGGTGAGCGACCGGAGCCCCTGCCCTTGGGGCATGGCCCCCTCCCCGAAGCCCCTCTCTGACCACCACCCCCTCCCTTGTGCCCTCCCCTGCAGTTCCCCTCCATGTGTGAGAAGATGAGGATCCGCGTCATGGACTGGTGAGTAAGGAGCCAGGATTCAGTGAACGTCCGGGATCTGCCAGTGTCCGTCATGTCTAACTCGATCCCCCTGTTTGCAAGTTTGGGGACGGGGAAGAGGGGCCAGGTGGGCTTTCTTGGAGCTGAGGGGCGCAGTTCAGTCCTGCTCCGTTTCTTAAACCTCTGAAAGCCCTGGGGACCCTGCCCAGCGGGAGTAAGCCCCCGCCCCCTTCCAGCACCGAGGAGGTTCCCTAGTTGAGTCATGAAGTGTCTACAAGAAAACATACAAGCTCAGAGAGCACAAAGAACCCCACAGTCCTCCTCCTCCTCCTCTTCCTCCTCCTCCTGCTCCTCCCCATATTCTGTTCTAGCACTGATGATGTTGCCTAGCTGGGTCATGAAACGTCTGCAAGAAAACCATCCAGCTCAGAGAGTACCAGGGACCCTACAGTCTTTCTCCTCCTCCTCCTCCTCCTCCTCCTCCTCCTCCCCATATTCTGTTCTAGCATTGATGATGTTGCCTAGCTGGGTAATGAAACGTCTGCAAGAAAACCACCCAGCTCAGAGA